GCCTCCTAGGATCACAGTGTGTTGGAGGTTGGAGAGGCTTTGAGGTGTTGCCATCCAGTCTCTTTGCTTCACATCAGGAGGCTGAAGTGACTCACTACTGTTTGCTCTTGTGAGTCAGTGCTTAACCACAGGGGCCAGACCAGCCACCTCTAGATTTACAATTGCTGTAATTTCCATTGTGCCTCATCCCTAATCATCATCATCCCTCACTCACCATCACAGGTCCCAGCCTCTAAGACAGGGGTGGGCAAAATTTTTGACTCGAGGGCCACAATGGGTTCTTAAACTGGACTGGAGGGCCGGAACAAAAGCATGGATGGAGTGTTTGTGTGAACTAATATAAATTCAAAGTAAACATCATTACATAAAAGGGTACGGTCTTTTTTTTTTTTTTTTTAGTTTTATTCCTTTCAAATGGGCCGGATCCGGCCTGTGGGCCATAGTTTGCCCACGGCTGCTCTAAGACCATCCTCACAATATGGACAATCATCCCTTTCCTGTTTTGCTCATCCCTTAACTGGTCCCATCTTCTTAGCCCTTCTATTGTGCCCTCTGGACCTCATGGTCCATCATTGGCAGCCCTTCTCTGAGTATAACTTTCATCTTCCCGTAATTGCAACATAACTGTCTCCTGAAGACATTATTTCTAGCATGACTTTCTCAAGTGGTGGCTGCTTTTCCTATCATGCACTATTCGGTGGGGTCTGGAGGTGGGATCCCCTTCTTGATGTTGTTGGCTGCTGACTGCCTACTCACATTCCTTGATGGACCTGACTCATACACTCCCTCCCACCAGTCTTGACTTCAGAATCTTTACAGATCAGTGGTTCTCAGCAGAGGTGGTACCATCCCCTAGTGGGAATTTTGGAAATGTATGAGGTTTTTCATTTGTTTTCAAATGTAGTTGTGCCCAGCATTTATATTGAAATTTATATAGTCTTGTTATAAATGACTTTCCATTTGTTTGCTTTTTTCCCCCTTTATCTGTTAGGGCAATGTATATATACTAGAGGCCCAGTACACAAAAATTTGTGCACTCGGGAGGGTCCCTCAGCCTGACCTGTGCCCTCTTGCAGTCTGGATCCCTCAGGGAATGACCACCTGCTGGCTTAGGCCCGCTCACTGGGGGATTGGGCCTAAGCTGGCAGTCAGACATCCCTCTGGCAACCTGGGAACCCTGAGGGGATATCCACTTGCCAGCGGGGAGGAGGCCTAGCTGCAGTCAGACATCCTTAGTGCTGCTGAGGAGGTGGAAGAGGCTCCCACCACCATCGCTCTACTGGCAGCCATCAGCCTGGCTTGTGGCTGAGCAGAGCTCCCCTTGTGGGAGCACACTGACCTCCAGGGGGCAGCTACTGCATTGAGCATCTGCCCCCTTGTGGCCAGTGTGTGTCATAGTGACCAGTCGACTGTCATTTGGTCGACTGGTCATAACGGTCCTTTAGGCTTTTATATATATAGATTCTCAGACTTGCCCGTCATGTAAATGGCTACAAAATGGCTTCTATTGGGCCCACTAGGCTATATCATTCTATATTTCTCTTCAAGAGGCAAGAGTAGGGGGCTCCATTCTACCAGGGAAAATTATATTGCTATTTTGGTTGGGTTGATTTGCATATAGTCGCTCTGATTGGCTGGTGGGTGTGTCTTGGGCATAGCAAAGGTATGGTCAATTAGCATCTTTGTCTTTTATTAGTGTATAATATCTCAACCATCGTGACTTATCTTATGAACCTCATTTGAGGATAAAAAAGGGGATATTAAAATATATTTGTTATAAAAAGAGGGCATTTGGTCTGATAGCACTGAGATGGCTGATGCAGAAAATATGTCCAACTCCTCATTACTCCAAAATAATTTTCCTCCCACTCACCTCAGCCCCACTCAAATGGTCAACCTCTAGACCTTATCCTCACCAAGAACCACACCACTCCCAAAGTCTGGATTTAAACATCCCACTCTCTGATGATCATCCCCCTCCACTCCCATCTTTGTGGTTTACTGATTCCTTGGCTGATGCATGGAAGAGGCAAGGAACAGAGGTGACTTCTAGAAGCTGAAAAGGCAATTATCCAACTTCATGGAGACCTCTTGTCATTGACCCTAAAACTTTTCTTTTTCATTATTCTTTATTTTATTTGTGTCTTCACTTCTCTCCTCCCCAGGGTAATAACTACTCCCTTGCAAACATCCAGAACTCTCACCTTCCCTCCTACCTTACTTTCCTGGAGAAATAGTCAATACTGATTACATCCAGCTCTCTTCTTATTCCACAAATACTCCTAGCAAGCAGTTGAAAGTGTAGGAAAAAAACCACATAACCAACGACTAGAGTAATTTCAAACTTATGGCCACAAATTTCAAATGGGCACCCAACACCATCAGATGATTGTGCCACATCTCCCTTGCAAATTCACTCTCCCACTTTCCAAGATAACTATTTCTCACTTTCTCTTTTCTCCACAAATTGTCAGCACTTCCTCCCTTATCCATTCCCCTTAGCTGATGACTTCATGGAAGAAAAAGATGCACTTGCACTTCTATCATCTTACCTTAAAGGTGCCCACCAAACCAGTGGTCACTCCTCATTTCACTGACCTCTCAACAGCATTTTCAAATTATCACACTCTCTTTCCTGAAATATATATTTCTCTAGACATCTGGGTCTCTACTTGCAGGTCTTGCTTCTACACCATTTATTGCTCATTCAGAGCCTCCTTTGCTGATTTCACCTCCATCAAATTGCCACCAAACCTCTATACATCAGAAGGCTCACAGAGCCTCTGTCATTGGCTCTCTTCACTTGTTTGCCATCTCTCCCCAGGAGATCTGGGCCATTCCTCAGGCTTCACATTTTACCTCTGCACTGATGACTTCTATCTCTAGGCCAGATCCCTCCCCTAAGCTTCAGACTTAAATGTTCAACTGTCATGCTGGTCCTTCCAGTGAGATTTCTATCAGACATCTTAAATGTACCATGAATAAAATACTAGTATAACTATCACTGTGGCTAAAGAATGGCCCCCAAAGACATCCAGGTCATAATCCCTGGACTTTATTAATGTTGCCTTATGGTAAAAGGGATTTTGCAAATGTGATTAATTTAAGAATCTTGACATGGGGTGATTATCCTGATGACTCAGGTGGGCCCAATGCAGTAATCACAGTGTTCTTATGAGAGGGGGGCAGAGGGAGGCTTGAAGACAAAAGAATAGTAGGAGATGTGACAGTGAAAGAAAGAGGTAGACTGATGCAAGGAAGAAGCAAGGCGACTTCTAGAAGCTGAAGAAGGCATGGAAATGGGTTCTCCACTCAAAGCCACCAGAAAGAACCAGCCTTGCTGACACCTTCAGATCAGCCTGGTGAGACTGATTTTAGACTTCTGATCTCCAGACCTATAGAATACATTTGGGTTATTTTTAGCCACTAAATGTGTGGTCATTTGTTACAGCAGTCATAGGAAACTAATAGAGTCACTGCCACCACCACCACAAATCCACACCCCCTACCCTTGTGCCTTTAAAATCTTGATAAATGGCACCATTACTAACAGCTAAGGCCAAAACCTTCCAGTTGTTCAGATTTTTCTCTTGATCCACACCACACCTGTCAGCTCTACTCCCAGCATACATCCTGATTCCAATGGTTCTCACTGTCTCCACTGCTATCACCCTGGTCTAGGCCACCATCATTTCCTCTTGTGTTCTGCTCCTACTCTTGTCCTCCTCAGTTTATTGCTTCACAGGAGCCAGAATGATCTTTCTGGAGGGTAAATCAGATCACATTATTCCTCCTACTAAACCCTTCAATGGTTTCCCATTATATTAGGATAAAATACAAGTTCCTTGTCATGGCCTACAAGGCCCTATCATTGATTGGCCTCTGCACTTATCTCCCTGAACTTTCCCACTCATTCACTACACCCTGGCCACACTGACCTCTTTTCTGACCCTTTGCATCATTCCCAGCCCCCAGCCTTTGCACTTGCAGTTCCTACCACTGAATGCTCTCCTTTCAGGCCTTTGCATGGTCTCAATTCAAATATCATCTCCCACCACCTTCCTGCTAAACAGGACCTTTTAGAACCTGCAGCCAGTGGCTATTTAACCCTATTTTACATTCTTCATAGCATTTTTTCAGTACCTGAAATAGTCCTACTGGCTTGTTTACATGACTGTTATGTGTCTCTCCACTAGAATGAATGTAAGCTCTGAAGGCAGGATTCTTCCTATCCTTCTCACTGCAGTATCTCTAGTACTTGGCACACAGTAGGTACATAATTAATATTTATTTGCCTGGTTGTCTGACATGGCTTGTTTCTGACTCCACCTTCCCACTGGCCAATATAACTGTGTCCAAGTCTCCCAGTGGTGTGTGTATTTCAGTAGCACTGGGCTAGTTGTACAAAGAGTTAACTAGTGGAATTTCAGACATCATTCAGCAGGTATGGCATGACCATGGGGTTTCTTTCATGGTGCCTTTAAAAGCATATGATTCATTCAACATCAGCTAAGTATGGGGTGCCATGGATACATGGTAGAGGGAGGGAAAAATACAGGGTGGGGGAAAAGTAAGTTTACAATTGTGAGTACTCAAAACAGAGTTTATTCTTGTGTTAGTATTTATTAATTATTGTATTATTTTATCAAACAACTGTAACCCTACTTTTGCCCCACCACATATTTATATTATACCTCAAAGACAACAAATTTGGATCTTGTGAAGTCACAATGTGGGTGGGTAGAGTAGAGGTAGACAAAAGTATCACATGGAAGTTCTCAGCTATTCTGTGGACTTGGTGTGGTTTGCACCCACTAAAGACTCGTTGGACCTAGGAATGTAGGGATGGGAACCATGTGGCTCAGAGCTGAAAGGCAGGTTTGAAAAGAACAAATCAAACTATAGAAATCCTGCTTGCCCCCCACCTACCTTCATTTATAAATAATGGGAGACTATGACTTTCTTTCATTATGTGGCTTTCCTTCTCCCTGTGGCCTCAGGTCTCATCATCCACGAGGGACCCTCCGTGTACCGCATCTTTAAACGGTGGCAGGCTGTCAACCAGCAGTGGAAAGTGTTGAACTATGACAAGACAAAAGACCTGGAGGATCAAAAGTCAGGAGGCAGGACAAACCCCCGGACCTCCTCATCCACCCAGGCCAATGGCCTCTCCTCGGAAGAGGAGGCTGCGGACACCCCTGCCCCCGAGGAAGGTCCTGCCCGGGCAGCCAGCCAGCCCTCAGGCCCTCCCTCTGATCACCACTGTGCTTACACCATCCTGCACATCTTGAGTCACCTAAGACCTCATGAACAGCGGAGCCCCCAGGGCGGCAGCCGAGAGCTCGTCATGAGGGTCACAACAGTGTGAAAGGAGTGCCTGGAAGGGCAGCCGTGACCATGCACAACAGCAGAGGGTGGGCTGGGAAGGGGCTAGGCCCGATGGGATGCTGGTCTGGGGAGCAGATGTGGGGAGGCCAGGTGGCTCCCCAGGCGCCAGAGCAGAGGGTGGGGGGCTTTGAGGGGTCTGGGGGCAGGATTAGAGCTGCAGTGAGTGATGTTGGTGTGGTTCTGTGGTTTCCAATCAGTCAATACCATTCTCCAACAAGAGCAAGGAAAACCAATACAAACTCAACAACAAAGTGCAATACAGACTGAACCCAACAAAATACAACAACAACACCAGGCACATGTACCGTGGTGGGATTGGGCCTAAGAGAGGAGGCTGCAGAGGGCAAGGCTGGCTTGTGGGTGATGCCCACCTGTGCCCATGTGCAGGAAGAAGCAATGCAAAGGAAAAGCACCTGCAGCCTGCCCTGCTTTACCCTTGAGTTTGTTTTGGTTCCTCTCTGGGCCTGACCCACTGGCTGTGGGGGTAGGGAGAGGGACGGGTGAGGACTGGCAGGGTTGGAATTCAGTTTTTGCAGCCCCTGAGCTCACCGGATGGGCAGGATTTCTAACTCAGATGGCTTTGGCGACTCTGGGTGGA